CATATCAAGCACACAGTATAGGTAAGTTCACTACCTTGCACCTCAAGCTTTCCTCTCACTTTTCCTTTGACTCCCTTGACTTTCCAACCATGTGGGCATTTGTTCAACATCACCAAACATCCTCTTGGATGTTCCAAAGGTCCTAAACATAACCATAATGATCACACAATCCATTAGGACCATTAGATGACATAAAGTTCAAGACTAGCTTTCTTGAACCTCAACCCTTTCTCTTAGTCTTAAGATTTTCTTTCTAACTTTTATAATATAAATCTTATCATTTCCCATCCTTAAGATCCATTTCTTGTCAATTAAGACCACTTTAGATGGCCTTAGATTCAAGAATACCAAATCTGGAAATTTTGGTTCGCGGGTACTGTTCACGCAGAATTTCCAGAATTTTTGCTCAACTTTGAAAATTCATAATTAATTCTAGAAAAATCCAAATTGAGTGATTCCAAGTCTCAATGAAAGCTCCTTAAGTTAAATTTAAGGGAAAAATATTTTCAGGAACCAATTCTACTCCAAATAGTACCGGAACTGTACGGAACCCGAAACTCTTCCAAAAGTTCAACACTGTTTCCAGATTTCAAACCCTAACTTTGAAAAGTCACCATAAATCGTACACATATCCAAATGATGTTCTACCCATGTATTTAAACCTCACAGAGTGTACTTTAAGCATGTAAAATTTCAGAATCAGATACGCACAGTAACTAATCCGAAATAGGCATAAAATCAGGTGCTATAACCATCACATACCTTATTTTAGAGTTTGATTTGGCTTGGAACCACTTGGCCTTTCTTTCTCCCTCTTCTTTCTCTCTCTAGAAACCATTTTGCAAAAGCTTCCCCATGGATTCCTTATGCTTGGACGAAATGGTAGGGAGGGGAGGGGGTATTTATAGAAAAACAGATTGAATCTGGACCGTTGATCTTAAAAATACGTGGCTCGATCTGGACCGTCCATTTTCTCTTTTGATCTTACAGTGACAAGTGTCCTATGACATCATGCTTACATCATCAAGCCACATGTCTTTAATCGGACCGCACACGTGTCTTGCATCCGACTATACACGTGTCTTCCATCTAGCCGTACACGTAATATTTTCTTTTTCTCATCTAACCGTACACTTGTCACTTTCATGTCCTTTCATCATTTATGGCATTAAAATAGGGAGAAAATAAATGAAAAATTCATGCAAAAATATTTTCTTAATTATTTCTCCACCTATCAAGCCAATCTTGCACCGTATTGGATACTTTTCGGGTCCTGACTTACCCTGTACCACTAGGACATGTTCTGACACTATTTTCTCATCTTAATAAGTACATATATGGTGCCACCTTAGAGGAGCAGAAGGAAAAATAATTAGCTCTACTGACAGGCTACTTAACCTTACTGAGTCATGCAGTAGAGATTTCACTATAACGGGTAGACAAAAGACTGTCTAAAATAGTCCCACACTGTGTTCTGATTTTTATGCTGTCCATAAATATCTTCTGGTGACTCAGCATGATGACTCGTAGGTGTCATGATTACGCTTGGTGACTCAGCATACTGACTCAGCATCGTCATGATGGCTCTTAGATATTTTCTTTAGTTTTGTCTCCTATTTAGGGGACAAAGTTATTTAATATTTGACTGGAGCATTTTATTCAATCCAGAGCTCCAAAAATTCATCCAAAAATGTCATAAAATTCCTCATATTCTAGAGAAAATCTGTGAATTTTCTCAGGTCATAACTCAACCTGTAGCCCCACATAAAAATCATTCTTTAAAATGCCCTTTTTCGGCACAACTGGCTTTTAAGTATTCTTAAAGCCATTTTGCTGGTCTTCTGGGGATGAGACTAATTTTATAATTTTCTACAGTCTCTTAGATCATACATTCCTATTTTACCATAATTTTCTGAGGTTTCCTTATGACTCAAACAATTAAATCTACCTCTATATCTCAAATTGAACCATAAACTTATAAATTCCTTTTAAGTTACCTCAGGGGTATTTTCATCATCTCTCTTCACAAAAGAGCCTTAGAATATTATTTCCCATTTTCTGGGATTTTCTTAGAATTTTCTAAGTACTTTCCATTTTTACCCCTGATGGCTGTAACTTTCTGAATTTACGGTTTTACCCCTGCTTAGGCTCAACCTCATAAAACCATCTCTTTAAGGCTTCTAACTTAACCTTTGGTCTGTATCTAGCCTCTTTTCTCTTTCTGGGCCTTTGAGACTTTACTGGAGCCTCTAACTTTGATCACCCTTTAGCCCCTTAAAAACTTTCACTTTACAGTTTAGTCTCTGAAACTGCTTTAACTTCCTTTCTCATCTTTAGGACCTCTACTAAAAAGGAGTCTGGTAGCCTATCTCATTCAGGCTATTTCTGATACTTCTAGGCCCAAAAATCGAGATGTTACAGATTCTACATGGCAAATTATGTAGGAAAGGCCGAAGAAAGTTCAAGAATCAAAGCTAGAAAAATAAACCATAAAAGTCAAAAAAAACGGGGTTTAAAGGGTTATGTTAAGTTATGGAGTTAAAGTAATGCTTAATGTTATGTCATTGGTTGCCTAATAGGCTATACACAACAAAGGGTCAAAGATCTAGTCAAGAGAAAAGAGTTCAAGAGGAAGGAAAGCCAATATGGTAGCTTTTGCATTCCATTGCTTGTTAGAGTTACTATACATTGTAAGTTCATTGCTATGTGTTATGATGTGATGCCATGATGCCTCCATGCATGTATACCTTGGTTTATGCAAGGTTGAGATGATATGTTATGTTATGATGTTATGTTTTTTCATGGCAAGTACATAATACTCAAGTATGTATGTATGCATGTAGCTTGAATTACATTGTGATGTGTAACCATAGTAATGTATGCAATGTGCTACTAAGATTCTCCAAGAATCTTACCCCCATACTTAACAAAACCTAAGGCCTTCAACCTCCAAGGGCAAAGGAAAAGAAGTAGCTATAGTGGAGAGTTAAGTTTGCCTCGAGAATAAGAAGAAGAATGAAGAAAAACCTTATGTTGGATGAATGTAATTAAGAGTATGCTTTAAGGTTTTAAGTTATGGATATATGCTAGCTTATGTGTTAATATGTGAAAGCATGCTAGTGTTGTCCAATATGCATGATTATATGGTAGGAGAATTATAATTGGTCAAGTAAGACAATTTATCCTTCCAAGGGGGATAAAAGTCAACATTATGGACCTCAACTTTGACTAAAGTCAAATTAAGCAATCGAGTGAGTATAGCCATGAGATTCGGTGAGCAAATAGATGGGATTTTTCTCTTTAAGATGAGAGTTGGTTCACCTGAATCTGATAACCACAATAGAAGTTATGTCCTTCCAAAGTTGGGCTAAAATAAGTGAAAAATGGAAAAATGACCATATGAACAGTAAGCTTTTCAAGAAAAACTGAGCTTGAATTTTAAGGCAATCAGTCCAAAAATTATTTTCTCTCAAAATTTTATCCAAAGAGCTTTCCATAGAACTTAGAATCACTTGATTTCAATTTTTCTACAATTAGTTATGAATTTTTGAAGTTTGCCACATTTTTGGGTTACAATGAATAGTAATCCGTAAAAGAAAATTTTCAAGCTTGATTTTTCATAACTTGTAGTCTTCAAAAGTGATTCCAAATGCTTCCGCAAGGCAAGTTATTTGGTATAAACTTAAGATGTTACAGATTTCAAGCAACACAACAAAGAAAACACTCTAAAATCAACCTACAACCACTTGTAACCACTATGATCTATCATGTTTTGAAGTGTTCTAGCAAGATCTAACAACCAAACTCCCTCTCCTACATAAGAAGCATTTTGGCCAGCACTCAAAGAGGAAGAGAACTAGAAATTTCAACCATACAACTCAAGCAAACAAGGCAAGGAACAATTTAAAACCAAAAACTTACCTTGGATCTCACTTGTATGTTTAAAGTTGATGCCTTTCTCTTGATTTCTCCCTTGAACTCTCTCTTTTCCTCTCAAGTTCCCTCTTGGCCAAAATATGGATCAGATTTGGGGGGGAATGAGCTCATTCAATGCACACAAAATATCTCACCAACCATCATTAATGTTATGCCATGTGTCAAATACTTACTTAGTCTTAATCCTCTCTCTTAATTAACTTAAATCATAATGTAATTAAATTCCAAAGTCAAGATCCTCTCTGTTGGTAGCTTGACACTTCAAAAGCTTTAAATCCTCTCCATTAGGGGCTTGACACATGGCTAAATGTGAACTATTTGAATTGCAAGACTCTAGTCTTGCTTTATCGGTGCACTTTTACTCTGGGTTTAACTTCTTTTCTATAATTACAGTGCTCTGGCCTCTGTAATTATTTTCTATCAGATCCATAAATTATTCTCCTCATTTTTATCTTCCTAAATTTTTCTCTTTGTCTCAAAATTAATTTCTCAATAATTAAATAAAAAGGGAAAACTATTTTCCTTCTCTTTAGTGATTTTTCGACTTTCCAAAGGAATTGGGAAAAATCTTGGATACTTGAGGGTCTTTTTTTAATTCCATAATCTCTTATAATTTCTTAGGATATCATAGGAATTTTCTTGGGATTTTATCCTCCTTAAAATATTTATTTGGAATTTTCCAAATAAAAGACCTTAAACTAGCTTAAATCGCCCTTAAATTCCTTTGTAATTTCTCTAAGGGAAATTTAGTCATAAAACCAATTTTATAATCTCATATAATTCTCAAGGAACATTGTCCTTATTTTTTCTTAATTTTCTGAGGCTTGAAAATATTTTTCCATAATTATTCTTGACCAATTTTCCTTAATTAGTCAAACTTTTCTTAATTGGCTTGGAAAATTCTAATAATTATTTTCCACCAAAATTCTTCTATTTCCCCTTATCACTTTTGACCCTTAATTATTTAGGAATATTTTTTATTCGTAATTATCATATTACTGGATGTGACATTAACTAAATAGGGTTTTCCCACAGAGTGTCCACCCCATACCACCCCCAAACCAATGGCCTGTAAAATGCCAATAGGAATGTCTCCATATCAGATTATCTATAAGAAGTTATGTCATATACTGGTAGAGCTGGAGCATCAGTCGTATTGGGTGGTTAATAGCTGCAATGCTGATTTTGAGGAAGCTGGTTTGAACAAGCTTCTTCAAATCCAAGAACTTAAAGAGATGTGTTTGGATGCCTACCATAGCTCTGACATTTACAAGCAGAAGACCAAGCTTATCTATGATGCTAACATCCTAAGCAAGAGGTTCAAGAAGAGAGATAAAGTGTTGAGGTACCAAGCTCGGTTTAAATTCAAGAAAAAAAAATTCAAGATAAGTTGGGATGGACCCTACATTGTAGTCAAAGTGCATGATTTTGGGATGACAAAGCCGAAAGAGGAGGCCACAGGCAGAATCTTCCAGTACAACGATCATCTCCTCAAGCTCTACGAAGAGCCCACACAGCCTTCACAAGGCCAGGTTGTCCCTTTCCATTCTCTTTACTTTTCACTTTTCCTTTACTTTTGACATTATTATCTTGTATGTGACTGTTTTGAGTTGTGAAAGGTATGCACCCAGTAGAAGTAGAATTTTAAATTTTAGTAGTTATCTTTGTTTTGAATAATACTCCCTTAGTTATGCTATTTTGATGTATTTACACTCCTATTCTGTCACCAACACACACTCAATTGCATTCTTTCATTTACCCATCCTTGCACTTCAGCTCTTTTCTTCTCCTTAGAAGGATTATGTGTTATGCTTCAATCTCGAATTGGACTTCACAACTTCCACCTTTATTGTTTTTATTTTTGAGCTTTGTGTTTTGGTATGTGACTATGTTCCGTAATGAGGACATTACTTTTAGTTGGTGGGGGAGGGAGGAAGTTTGTTTGAGCTTAAAATAGGTGTTGTGATTTGTTTTATTGGGTTACTCCTTGTTGTGGATAGTTATTACTGAACTTGTCAAAAAATTTTGGAAATTTTGAAAATTTTGAAAGTTTTTCCAATCTTCTATTACTTGCTTTTGAGTTGTGTATTAAATTGTTGAAAATCTAGTGATAGATTGCTGAGTTGGTTGTTTTAATAGTTATTAATGGTATAGGAGCTTAGAATTGAGGTTGAATAGGATTTAGAGACTTAGAGCGCTCTCTGTGAATCAAGGTTATAACCTCACTGCCTTTATGTCACGACCTAGAGGTTAGGCTGAGAAAGAGGGCTCTCTATGATTTGAAGTCACGACCTCACTACCCAAAGTCGCGACGTGGGGAAAGAACTTGGTTTAGGCTCTCTGTGAACTGAGATCACAACCTGGAGCCTGTATGAAGCCTAAAGTCCCCTCTGTCTGCTGAAGTTGTGACCTGGATACCCTTAGGTCATGACCTGGATACCCTCAGGTCATGACCTGATAAGAAAAATCATAACTTTCCTCTACAAATTCATCTCTTTGCCTTATATTTTCTCATCATATTTACCATTTTACCTTTTGAACCTACTCTAGGCATCGTTTAGATTCATTTAAGGACCTAAAACCCTAATACCCCTTTTGTAATTTCACAAACCCAAATCGTTAAACCCTTCCCCCTTCCCGTCCTTTCATTCTTCGTGTCTTTTCATTCTCTATGCCTTCAATTTTCTCTCCCAGAAGTCATGACTTCTCTGCTATGAATCTCTATGACTTTCCTTCTTTATCCTCCCTTCTTAAGCCAAACACTTTGAATATGTCCCTAATTCTTGTCCCTTTTCTGCATCTAAGTACTCCTCCGCTGTTCTGCCTTTGTGAAGTCACCACCTGCAGTTTGAAATCAAGTCCTTGCTTACTCCTTACGTACCCACTCTCTGATCTTCTACTCTTTCAAGGTAGTTTCTATTTTTTCCTTTTGATTTCTCTATTTTTGGTTTGGTTTGCTATGTTTTGTAGGGTTAGATAGGTATCTCTTGTTTAGGTTTAAGTTTTGATTGAGTGGAGTGGGGAATTACTGCTTAGGCTACTGTTAAACTAGTTTTGAAACTATTTGGGACTGTATATTCTACAGAAAATTGATTTGGATTAACTATTTTGAATTCTGGACTGCTTGTGTTTTTCTGAAATTCTGGAATTCAGGTCACATCCTGAATGCACAGAGAAGGCCTTGTACTGCTGGAACCACCCTCTTTGTCTGCCAAATGCAATTTCTTGATGATTTCTAACTTTAACCTAAAATGACTTTGAAAGAACCTACTTTTAAGCAATTACAAAGTTAGAAAACTTGAATTTTGACAAGATTTTCCTATAGTTTTTAAGTTAAAAGTTCTTTCAATTCCAAGCATCAAGGTTTTTCCAAGGTGAGTTTGAGGAAGTGTGGGGTTCTCTTGGCTTGGTGGTAGGCTTTGCTTTCTTTAGTTTTAGGTTGTCTCTTTTTGGTTTTGTGTTTATTTGGTTGTTTGTTGTATTGCTTGGTTTCACCTTTAGATGCCTCGCACAAAGAACCTTGATATTTCCAGAAGGGATCCCCCTCATGATGAGTCCTAGCTCTCACGGGTAGACACAGTACGCATGTTTGTAAATAGGGGGTGGTACAAGAACATTATTTTTTGAAAACTGATGAGTATGACTTTTACAAGCTTGCTAAGGAGTAAGGCTTTGAAGAGCTCATGAAGAAGAGGAAGAAGGTCAATCTGACATTAGTGAGGGAATTCTACACTTGTTTTGCCATAGACAGGTACATAGGGATCAATTTTAGAGAGAAGGAGTCATATTTTAGTCAGGCTATTGTTGAGTCTTTCTCTTAGCTGCTTGATATTCCCCAATGCAAGTACCATCATTATAAGACCAGACTGGATGAAGTCCCTTGGAATGAGGTCTTTCAAACTATGGGAGTTGAGGGAGCTGGCTGGACCGTTAAGGAGAATGGGAGGAGCTATTTTAAGCATAATAAGAATGTTAATGATAAGGCCAGGATTTAGCTCAACTTCATGTCTTACAATGTGATGCTAGCAACTCATATCTTTGATGTTTCTGAAGATGGTGCCCTTTGTAACATCCAGACTTTTAGAACTAGAAGTACCAGAAATAGCTTGAATTGGATAGGCTGCTAAACTCCTTTGAGCAAAAGTCCCAAAGATGAGAAAGGAAGTCAAAGCAGTTTCAGGGACTAAACTGCAAAGTAAAAGCTTTTCAGGGGCTTCAGTATAATCAAGGTCAGAGACTCCAGTAAAGTCTCGAAGGCCTAGAGAGAGAAAAGAGACTAGACATAGGCCAAAGGTTGAGTTAGAAGCCTCAAAGAGAGGATTATATGAAGTTAAGTCCAACCAGGGACTAAACTGTAAATTCTGAAAGTTATGACCAACAAGGATAAAAATGAAAGAGTACGCAGAGAATTCCAAGAAAATCCCAAAAAAAAGGGAAATAATATTCTAAGGCTCTTCTGTGAAGAGAAAAGACGAAAATACTCCTGAGGCAGCTTCAATGGAATTTATGAGGTTATTACCGGTAAAAAGTATACCATTTGAGGTAATTATTTAAAATAGCAAGAGACCTCAAAAAATGTATATAAAAATGAGACTAAATGGTTAGAAGGTTGTACTAATTTATAAAATTAGTCCCGCAGCCAAAAGGCCAGTGGAGTGGCTTTAATAAATTAAAGAGCCTATTTTGCCGATAAAAGGGTATTTTAGTAAATGAATTTTATGCAAGGCTTAAAGGAAGTGTTATGGCCTAAGAAAATTCATAGATACTCTCTAGAATTAAAGGGAATTTATGGATCTGACAGAAAATAATTATAGAGGCCAGAGCACTGTAATTATAGAAAAGAAGTTAAACCCGGAGTAAAAGTGCACCGATAAAGTGTTAATCAGAGTCTTGCACTTTACTTGGCCTACAAGTCGCCACTTGTCAAGCCTTTAATGGATGGTAATTAAAACTTTTCAAGTGTCAAGCTACCAATGGAGAGGATCTTGACTTTGGAATGTAATTATATTATGAATTAAGTTAATTAAGAGAGAGGTTTCAAGAAGGCTTAGGCATTTGACACTTGGACTTTTATTAAATGTGGTAGATGAGATATTTTGAGAGCACTAAGGAGCTCATCTCTCCCCTAAATCAGATGGGAATTTCGTCCAAGGCAAAGAGAGAGGAAAAGAGAGGGTTTTGGAAGGAGAACCAAGGAAAGCTATCAACTTTGGTCATCAATCAAGGATTCAAGGTGAGATCTTGGTTCTAGATGTGTTCTTGTCTTGTTTTCCTTCTCTTTTAAGGTTAAAAAATCTGTCTTCTCTTCCTTTTGATTGATGAGTGGGGAAGGGAGTTTGGTTGTTAGATCTTGCTAGAACACTTCAAAGTATGGTAGATCCAAGTGGATCTATGTGAAAATTGGAAGAATTACGTGCTGATTTGATGCCTATTTCGAATCTGTTACTATTCATATCTGGTTCTAAAATTTGGTATGCTTAAAGTACACTCTGTGAGCTTTAAATCCATGGGTAAAAAACTTCATTTGGACATGTGTACGATTTATGGTGATTTTTCAAAGTTAGGGTTTGAAATCTGGAAACAGTGTTGAACTTTTGGGAGAGTGTCGAGTTCCGTACAATTACGGTACTGTTTGGCGTAGAATTGATTCCTGAAACTATTTTTCCTTTAAATTTAACTTAAGGAGCTTTCAGTGAGACTTGGAAGCACTCAATTTTTATTTTTCTATATTTAATTATGAATTTTCAAAGTTGAGCAAAAAAATTCTGGAGATTCTGCGTGAACAATACCCGCGAACCAAAATTTCCAGATTTGGTATTCTTGAATCTAAGGCCATCTAAAGTGGTCCTAATTGACAAGAAATGGATCTTAAGGATGGAAAATGATAAGATTTATATTAGAAAAGTTAGAAAGAAAACCTTAAGACTAAGAGAAAGGGTTGAGGTTCAAGAAAGCTAGTCTTGAACTTTATGTAATCTAATGGTCCTAATGGATTGTGTGATCATTATTATGGTTATGTTTAGGACCTTCGAAACATCCAAGAGGATGTTTGGTGATGTTGACCGAATGCCCACATGGTTGGAAAGTCAAGGGAGTCAAAGGAAAAGTAAGAGGAAAGCTTGAGGTGCAAGGTAGTGAACTTACCCTTTATGTGCTTGACATGGTATGCTCATGTGTTGGTTTGTATTTGTTGTTTGAATGATATTGTGACATGATGATTGTTGCTGGAAATGCTATTTTTAATATGTTCCCATGGCCATGCATTTTTATACCAAGCATAAAGCATGATGGTATGTCACTAGTTAACTAAGTTTATGAAAAACTACATACCATGCATACACTAGCATCCATCTTATGCATGTATGTGGTAATGTTTGCTACTGAGATTCTCCCGAATCTCACCCCTCCCTAACCAACCATTTTGGTCAATCAATGATGGGCACTAATGGCATGAGAAGCAAGGAGAAGAAGTGGAGAATTATTGATGCTAATGATTGAGATTATGTTCAATGTATAATTCTCCTATGTTATAATTATGTTGTGAATGCCATGTATTTAATTATAAAGCTTATGGCATGTA